TCTATTTCTCAGGATGTTTTTCAGTCTCAAGTAATGGAAAATCCACCTAAAAATTTAGCCCCTTCGCTTATGGCTGAAGACACCAACACCCAGAGAGGGAAAGCGATTTGGTCAAGGTCACACAGCAAGTTAAGGACAAAGCTGGGAGCAGATCCCGGGTCTGCGGATTCCAATAGCAGCAGCTGTCTGTGGCACCACACTGAGGGAAGACCGTTTAGTAGAGTCAGAAGTGAATCTAATCCACGTCAGAGGCAAAGAAGTTGAGAAAATTCACTGCTTCTAATGTAGTTATAAACCGGGCTCTTGGATGTCCTGGTGTCCCATAGTTTGAAGCTTTCTCATTTCAGAAGATGATTTTGTGTTTTCTCAGATGCCCAGGAGTGGACTTTTTTTAAATTTAATTTTTACTTTATATTGGGGTATAGTTGATTTACAATGTTGTATTAGTTTCAGGTGTACAACAGAGTGATTCAGTTATACATATACATATATCCATTCTTTTTCAGATAGTTTTCCCGTACAGGTTATTACAGAATATTGGGTAGCGTTCCCTGTGCTATGCAGTAGGTCCTTGTTGATTATCTATTTTGTATATAGTGGTATGTATATATTAATCCCAAACTCCTAATTTATCCCTCCTCCCCACCTTTCCCCTTTGGTAACCATAAGTTTGTTTTCGAAGTCTGTGAGTCTGTTTCTGTTTTGTAAATAGGTTCATTTGTATCATCTTTTTCGATTCCACATATAAGTCATGTCATATATTTGTCTTTGTCTGACTTACTTCACTTAGTATGATAATCTCTAGGTCCATCCTTCTTGTTGCAAATGGCATTATTTCATTCTTTTTATGAATGAGTAATATTCTATTTTATATATGTACCACATCTTCTTTATCCATTCATCTGTTGATGGACATTTAGGTTGCTTCCAGGAGTGGATTTTATAAGACTTCTGAAGCTAAACTCATCACCTTCACCAGCCCAGGAACTGGAATCACGTGTTCATAACAAACATGAGGCAGGTGCCCTAAGTTCTGACCTGGTGCTCAAGAGCTGCAGGATCTAAAAGAGGGAGCACACAGGGCCTTGCTCTGGGAGGTGGGGCCTCCCCTCCCAGCTGGAGGGCTTGCCTAACTCATCCCTCATCTGCTCCTCTCCGTCTCCCACCCTCTCCACAGAGGCTGGGACCCACCCCCCATTCCTAGAAAGATTTTGCCCCCAGCATCTGCCCCAAACATTTAACAGCCCTCTGGGGTCCTTTCCCCAGGCAATGATGGAAACTCTCACCTCCTCTGAATGATGTAAAAGGTAATAACTCTTCCCCAAACCTTCTATACCAGGGACATAACAAGTATCATTGTATTTATTCCTCCAATAGTCCAATGAGAAAGGAACTGTTAGCCAGTTTGGAACAAGGAGTTTCAAACATTATTAATGTAGTCAACAGCCAGGGAGTTAGTAAATGGTAGGGCTTGAATTTGAACCTGGGCCTGGCTGGTTTTTTTTTTTTTTTACATCTTTATTGGGGTATAATTGCTTTACAACGGTGTGTTCGTTTCTGCTTTATAACAAAGTGAATCAGTTATACATATGTCCCCATATCTTTTCCCTCTTGCGTCTCCCTCCCTCCCACCCTCCCTATCCCACCCCTCTAGGTGGTCACACAGCACCAAGCTGATCTCCCTGTGTTATGCGGCAGCAAGAGAGTGGCATGGACATATATACACTACCAAACGTAAAATAGATAGCTAGTGGGAAGGGGCCTGGCTGTTTTAAAGCCCATGTTCTTCCACTGCCACGGACCAGCACCCAGAAAAGCTGAGTTCTGGTTTTTTAGCTGATTCACAAAGCTTATTTGGCCACGACCAGCTTTGTGACCTTGGGCAAATTACTTAATCTTTCTGAATCTCAGTTTCCTTAACTATAAGGTGCAAACTGTATACCAGTATTGACTACCTTATTGAGTCACTGTGAAGATTAAATATGACAATGTATGTGAAAGTGACACACAAATGTAAGGCATCCCCAAAGCAGAAAAGGTTCTTTTTCCAGTGGAAGGTCTTTGACCATCAACAGTGATATTTAGTAGGTTATAATTCATCTCAACCCTTAATAGTATATCTTTAATTTTACCCACACCCCAGCTTATTTTTACCATCTCTTGTCATTTTTAAAATCTTTTATATCCTTGTGCAGTCTTTTCATTTATGTTTTTCTTGTGTTTGGACATTAGGCATGCTTTTCCTCCTTAATGTCTCCTTAAAGAAAACTTTGTGACTTAATTTTCTTAAGGACAAATAACCTTTTGAAAGGAAGGGCCCCTTAGGTAAAACTCCCACAAAGTAGACCCAGGCAAGATTGTGAAATTTACAAGTATGTCTTCAATGGCTCTGTAGTTTCAGCATCTGTAATATTCAAGGCCACTTCAATTGCAAGGTACAGGACCAAAGTCAAACAGCTTAAGAAAAAAGTTATCGGCTTATGAAACGGAAGAGCCCGTGGGCAGGCCTTTAGGTATGGCATTATCCAGGTTCTCAATGGATGCAGTAAGTTGTCAACCTGTCTTTACACATTTCTTGCTTTGCTCTCCTCTGGGTTGGATTCATTACTGGGCAAGCTTCCTCCATCTGGTGAGAAAGACGGATACCAGACATCCCTGATCCTCACAGAGAAAGAAGGAAGAAGCATCTTTTCCTGTAGCACTTCTGTGGGAGACAAAATCATGACAGCCTCCAAGATTCCACACTTTGGTGTATATGCCTTGTATATCTCCTTGATTATGGGAAGGACTTGTGAATATGATGAGATATCACTCCTGTGATTATATTATTTTATCCTGGGTGGCCCTGACCAAATCAGGTGAGCCCTTTATTTTTTATTTATTTTTTGTATATTTTTAAATTGGGGTTTAGTTGTTTTACCATGTTGTGTTTCTACTGTACAGCGAAGTGAATCAGCTATATGTATATATATATCCCTCTTTTTTGGATTTCCTTCCCATTTAGGTCACCACAGAGCACTGAGTAGAGTTCCCTGTGCTATACAGCAGGTTCTAATTAGTTATCTGTTTTATACATATTGGTGTACAGGTGAGCCCTTTAAAAGCAGAGTTTTGTCAAGCTGATTGCAGAGGAAGTCAGAGAGATGTGCTCTGGTTGGCCTAGGAGAAAGCAAACATCCATGCTGTGAATTGCCTATGGGGACCACGTAGTAAGGAAATGCAGGTGCTCTCTAGGATCGGAGAAAGTCCCTGGCCAATTGTTAGCAGGAAAATAGAGACCTAGTCCTATATTTGTAAAGAAATAGATTTTGTCAACAACCAGTGACCTTGGAAGAAGACCCTGAGCCTCAGATGAGAACTGTAGCCCCAGCCAACACCTTAATTTCATCTTCATAAGCACCTGAGAAGAGAACCCACTCATGCTGTGCCTGGACTTCTGACCTACATTACTGTGAGATAAATTTGTGTTGTTTTAAGTTACTACATTTGTGATACTCTGTCATGCAGCAATAGAAAGCTAACACAACTTCTGAAAATTCTAATGTATGAGTTAGGATCTTTTGGTTGCAAGCAACACAAAGCAACTCTGGGTGACCTAAGCAAAAAAATTTACCTGAACAGTGTTCATAGAGCCACAGAACATGAACAGTTCTTGGGATGGGTCTAAGCAGGAGAACTGAACAGGGGATGTTTCCAGGTCATTTTTCACTCTCTCGAGATTCAAATTCCAGGGAGAAAGAAGCTTACTGGCTTTACATGACAGCCTCATCAAGACTGTAACCAAGGGTGAATAGTTGGTTCTTTAAAGCAAAATGGGTGGAGTGAAATCAACAATATGGCTGAGTAAGACATCCCTCGTTTATGTTCCACTCTAAACAGCAACAATTTGACTTCCATCCATAGACCGAAGTGCCTTTGTGGCCGTTGTGGGACCCAGCACCATACACCAAAAGATCCAGGAGCCGTCTTGCCCACACATGTGTTGGGTAATAGGCATACAGACCCTGGTCCTGGCTGTGAACCGTACAGTGGCCCATGAACTGGCTCCAGCCCCTCTCAGTCATGGTCTGGGAGACCCTGGAAAACACTCTCTCAGACAATCACCCATAGACAAGAGACCCTTTGTGGAAGTCCAGGTTCCAGAGGAGAAGTTCCAGCACTCTGTTGGAACAACAACAACAAAAATACGAGTTTAGATGCATTGGAGTGGGTAAGAGGAACAGCTTTAATTTACTTGCATCATCCCTCCCCTGAGGTGGCATAGCTAAGGGATAAGTGGTATCTTCTCAGCCCTGTGATTTCTCCTACAGGGCAAAGTGAGAGCATGTGAATTAGCAGCTGGCTCAGAGTACTAAATCATTATCTACATGACTGGGGAGTAGGAAGAAACTGGGAGAGTGGCAGATAGGACTCTTGGGGGGCAATAAAGGGCTGCAGATCCTACTAAGTGCATTGTGGGCTCCATCAAGAAGCCAGTCCATGAACCACTGGGGATGTCTTGCCTGCAGATCCTCCCAACTGGCCCATAAACATCCCAGTGCTCTGTGCACCTCACCCACACACCTGGCTCCCTCTGTGCAATCCTGATGGTGGTGGTAAGAGCAAGCAAGCTAGAGAGCATGCACAGAAAGTCGACTTGAATCTGCAGGCCAGGGAAAGACCAGAAATTTAATCTTTAGTGCCACCCTTGGGAAAGCAAAAGGGAAGCTGTTGGCACTTGGCCTGGTGTGTCGTAAGATTAAGAAAAAGCATACAAGTTTATGAATTCTGCCATGAGAGGAAGCAAGGAGCAAGGAACAGGCATGTCCATGGAAGGTCTGAGAAAGCCTCAGCATCCCTAGCAGTGCTGATGGAAGATATTTCTCTCCCAAAGGTAATTAGTAAAGACTGGAGGAGGTGACTGCTACTTCAAATGTGAAGAGAGCAACACAAAACTTCAAGGAACATGAGAAACCAAGGAAAAACATGACATCACCAAAGGATTACAGTAATCTTCCAGTGTGGATCCTAAAGACATGGAGACTGTGAGTTACTGAATAAAGAATTCAAAACAGCTATTTTAAGTTTTTCTTATAGCTCTCATTGAGCTATAAGAAAACACGGAAAGGCAATTCAACAAAATCAGGAAAATCATACATGAACAAAATGAGAAGTATAACAAAGAGATAGAAATAATTTTTATAAATTATTTATAAATTTTATTATATTATTTATTATTTATAAATTTAATAAAATTCTGGAGCTGAAAAATACAATGAATGAAAAATGTAATAGAAAACATCAACAGCAGAATGAGTCAAGCAGAAAAACGAATCTGTGTGTTAGAAGAGAGGAACTTTGAAATTATCCAGTAGGAGGAGGAGAAAGGAAAAAGAATGAAAAAATAGTGAAGAAAGTCTATGTGATCTATGTGATACCATTAAAAGAAACAATTTGCAAATTATTGGAGTCACAGAAGGAGAAGAGGGGGAGAAGGGAGCAGAAAGATTATTTAAAGAAATAATGGCTGAGAGCTTTCCAGATCTGGAGAGAGAATTGAAAAATCCAAGTTTATGAAGCTCATAGGTCATCAAATTCAAAGAGATATTCTCCAAAACACATTAAAATAAAACTGTAAACATTCAAGGACAAAAAGAGAATCTCAAAAGCAGCAAGATAAAAGAAGCTTGTAACTTAAAAGGGAACCCCATAAGGCTGTCAGTAGATTTCTTAGCAGAAATTTTACAGGCAGGGGGAGAGTGGGATGATACATTCTTCAGGATAGATCACATGATAGGTCACAGAACAGGTCTTAGCAACTGTAAGAAGGTCAAAATTATACCAAGTATCTTTTCTGATGACAACAGTATGAAAGTAGAAATTAACAACAGGAGGAAAACTGGAAAATTCACAAAATGTGTAAACTAAACAACACACTTCTGATCACACAATGGGTCAAAGAAAAAAATTTTTAAATATATCTTGAAGCAAACAAAATGGAAACACAATATAACAAAAGTCATGGGTTGCAGCAAAAGCAGTTCTAAGAGGGAGATTTAGGAATTCCCTGGCAGTCCAGTGGTTAGGACTCAGAGCTTTCACTGCCATGGCCCAGGTTCAATCCCTGGTTGGGGAACTAAGATCCTGCAAGCCAAGTGGCACAGAAAAATAAAGAAGGGAAGTTTATAGTGATAAATACATACATTAAAAAATAAGAAAAAATTCAAATAAACAACCAAGCTTTACATCTCAAGGAACCAGAAAAAAGAAGCCAAAGTTATCAGAAGGAAGAAAACCACAAAGAGCAGAGCAGAAATAAATGAAATAGAGACAGAAAAACAATAGAAAAGATCAATGAAACTAAGAGCTGTTTTTTTTTTAAAAAAAAAAGTAGAACAGAATCAAGAGCCTGGAAATAAACTAACTCTCTCTCTCTCTCTCTCTCTCTCTCTCTCTCTCTCTCTATATATATATATATATATATATATATATATACAGTCAACTAATATTTAAGAGTGCCAAGAATACTCAATGGGAAAGAATAGTTTCTTCAACAAATAGTGTTGGGAAAACTGGATAACCAGATGCAAAGGAATGCAACGCTTACACCACTCACTAAAATTAACTTGAAATGGATTAAAGACTTAAGTAGAAGACCTGAAACCATAATACTTCTAGAAGAAAAACATAGGGAAAAATCTCCTTGACATTGGTATTGGCAACAATTTTTTGGATATGACACCAAAAGCCCAAGCAACAAAAGCAAAATTAACAGATTGGACCACATCAATCTAAAAAGCTTCTACACAGCAAAAGAAACAATCAAGAAAATGAAAAGGCAACCTATGGAATGAGAGAAAATATTTGCAAATCATATGTCTGAAAAGGCGTTAATATCCAGAATATATAAGGAACTCATAAAATTCAACAGTAAAGAAACCAAAGAACCTGATTTCAAAATGGGCAAAGGAACTAAATAAATTTTTTCCGAAGAAGACATACAAATGACCAACAGGTACAGGAAAAGATGCTCAATATCACTAATCATCAGGGAAATGCAAATCAAAACCACAATAGATATCACCTCACACATGTTAGAATGGCTATTATCAAAAGGACAAGAGATAACAAATGTTGGCAAAGATGTGGGGAAAAGGAAACCCTCATACACTATTGGTGGGAAAGTAAATTGGTGCAGCCACTATGGAAAACAGTATGGGGGTCCCTCAAAGAATTAAAAATAGAACTACCATCTGATCCAGCAATCACACTTCTAGTTATATATCTGAAAGAAATGAAATCAGGATCTTGAAGAAATATCTACAGTTCCACGTTCATTGCAGCATTATTCACAATAGCCAAGACAGAAAAGACTTAAGTGTCTGCCAACAGGTGAATGGATAAAGAAGATGTGGTATATATACACAATAGAATATTATTCAACCATGAGAAACAAGGACGTTCTGCCATTTGTTAAAACATGGGTGGAACTTGAGGGCATTAGGCTAAGTGAAATAAGTCACCCAGAGAAAGACAAATGTTATTTGATATCACTTACATATGGTATCTAAAAAAGCTGAACTTATAGAAACAGAGAGCAGAATGGTGGTTACCAGGGGCTTGGGGGTGGGAGAAAAAGGGAGATTTTGGTCACAGGTTACAAACTTACAGTTATGAGGTAAATAAGTTTTTGGTACAGCATGGTGAGGCGGCAAAGATGAGGTCCCACATAGGTGTTTGGGTGGGGTCCTGCAGGGATTGGCAGCCATTTCTGCTCCAACGGAGACCCCTCAGGAAACAAGTGCTGGCCTCCAGCTTCTTGTCAGTCCAAGACCAGTCAGCTGAAGAGGGGGTGGGCAGGGCTTGGGTGAGTGCACTGGGTCCTCAAGGCATGGGGAAGTGCTCCTCACTCCAGAGAAACCTTGGGAGTGACTGCCTCTGGAAACCCCAAGGACAGAAGCCAATCCTCCTTTTGTTCTTCTTTCTCTGGTGATCAGGAACCTGGGAACTGCTCCATTCACCAGTTTCTGGATTCCTCTTGTCTTCTTTTCAATAGTTGAGGCAGCGTCCTACTCAGTATTGGCCTTCCTGCCGTCCTGGATGTTACCATTCACCCATTCACCCACCCATCGAAAGTGTACTGAAAACTAGAGATTCAATCATGAGGAATAGCCAGATCTTTCTCACAAGCAAATCACAGCTGCTGGTCATTATGTCCTACCCGGACTTTCTCTCAGCTCCTGACCCTGTCTGTGTCCTTCTCTAGGTCCCAGCCCCATCCCACTGCACTCAACAGAGCAAGGCTGGCAGTAGTGGACAGCTATTGTTTTACACATGCCCAGAATCCTTTCCCTTTCTTTCTTCTATGACAAATGATTCTGGTAGGGCTGTTAATCATAGTGTCCTATCTCCAGTCTTGTCTTGTCTCCCTGGAAACAATGGTTGATCCAAGAGGTGAGCATAAGACCCAAGCTGGGCCAATTAGATCATTTCCTGAGATTTTTTTTTTTTTTAAATTTTTGAATTCTCTTTTATTTATTTTTTTTATACAGCAAGTTCTTATTAGTCATCCATTTTATATACATCAGTGTATACATGTCAATCCCAATCTCCCAATACATCACACCACCACCACCCCCCCACCACTGCTTTCCCCCCTTGGTGTCCATACGTTTGTTCTCTACATCTGTGTCACAGTTTCTGCCCTGCAAACTGGTTCATCTCTACCATTTTTCTAGGTTCTACATATATGTGTTAATATGCAATATTTGTTTTTCTCTTTCTGACTTACTTCACTCTATATGACAGTCTCTAGATTCATCCACATCTCTACAAACGACCCAATTTCGTTCCTTTTTATGGCTGAGTAATATTCCATTGTATATATGTACCACATCTTCTTTATCCTTTCCTTTGTCAATGGGCATTTAGGTTGCTTCCATGACCTGGCTACTGTAAATAGTGCTGCAATGAACATTGGGGTGCATGTGTCTTTTTGAATTATGGTTTTCTCTGAGTATATGCCTAGTAGTGGGATTGCTGGGTCATATGTATGGTAATTCTATTTTGAGTTTTTTAAGGAACCTCCATACTGTTCTCCATAGTGGCTGTATCAATTTACGTTCCCACCAACAGTGCAAGAGGGGTCCCTTTTCTCCACACCCTCTCTAGCATTTGTTGTTTGTAGATTTTATGATGATACCCATTCTAACTAGTGTGAGGTGATACCTCATTGTAGTTTTGATTTGCATTTCTCTAATAACTAGTGATGTTGAGCAGCTTTTCATGTGCTACTTGGCCATCTGTATGTCCTCTTTGGAGAAATGTCTACTTAGGCCTTCTGCCCATTATTGGGTTGGGTTGTTCATTTTTTTAATATTGAGCTGCATGTGCTGTTTATATATTTTGGAGATTAATCCTTTGTCCGTTGATTCATTTGCAAATATTTTTTCACATCTGAGGGTTGTCTTTTCATCTTGTTCGTAGTTTCCTTTGCTTTGCAAAAGCTTTTAAGTTTCATTAGGTCCCATTTGTTTATTTTTACTTCCATTACTCTAGGAGGTGGATCAAAAAAGACCTTGGTGTGATTTATGTCAAAGAGTGTTCTTCCTATGTTTTCCTCTAAGAGTTTTATAGTGTCCGGTCTTACATTTAGGTCTCGAATCCATTTTGAGTTTATTTTTGTGTATGGTGTTAGTGAGTGTTCTAATTTCATTCTTTTACATGTAGCTGTCCAGTTATCCCAGCACCATTTACTGAAAAGACTATTTTTTCTCCATTGTATATCTTTGCCTCCTTTGTCATAGATTAGTTGACCATAGGTGCGTTGGTTTATCTCTGGGCTTTCTATCCTGTTCCATTGATCTGTATTTCTGTTTTTGTGCCAGTACCATATTGTCTTGATTACTGTAGCTTTGTAGTATAGTCTGAAGTCAGGGAGTCTGATTCCTCCAGCTCCGTTTTATTCCCTCAAGACTGCTTTGGCTATTTGGGGTCTTTTGTGGCTCCATACAAATTTTAAGATGATTTGTTCTAGTTCCGTAAAAAATGCCATTGGTAATTTGATAGGGATTGCATTGAATCTGTAGATTGCTTTGGGTAGTATAGTCATTTTCACAATATTGATTCTTCCAATCCAAGAACATGGTATATCTGTCCATCTGTTGGTATCACCTTTAATTTCTTTCAACAGTGTCTTATGGTTTTCTGCATACAGGTCTTTTGTCTCCCTAGGTAGGTTTATTCCTAGGTATTTTATTCTTTTTGTTGCAGTGGTAAATGGGAGTGTTTCCTTAATTTCCTTTTCAGATTTTTCATCATTAGTGTATAGGAATGCAAGAGATTTCTGTGCATTAATTTTGTATCCTGCAACTTTACCAAATTCATTGATTAGCTCTAGTAGTTTTCTGGTGGCATCTTTAGGATTCTCTATGTATAGTATCATGTCATCTGCAAACAGTGACAGTTTTACTTCTTCTTTTCCAATTTGTATTCCTTTTATTTCTTTTCTTCTCTGATTGCCATGGCTAGGACTTCCAAAACTATGTTGAATAATAGGGGTGAGAGTGGACATCTTGTCTTGTTCCTGATCTTAGAAGAAATGCTTTCAGTTTTTCACCATTGAGAATGATGTTTGCTTTGGGTTTGTCATATATGGCCTTTATTATGTTGAGTTAGATTCCCTCTATGCCCACTTTCTGGAGAGTTTTTATCATAAATGGTGTTGAATTTTGTAAAAATTTTTTCTGCATCTATTGAGATGATCATATGGTTTTTATTCTTCAATTTGTTAATATGGTGTATCACATTGATTGCTTTGCATATATTGGAGAATCCTTGCATCCTTGGGATAAATCCCACTCGATCATGGTGTATGACCCTTTTAATGTGTTGTTGGATTCTGTTTGCTAGTGTTTTGTTGAGGATTTTTGCATCTTTATTCATCAGTGATATTCGTTTGTAATTTTCTTCTTTTGCGGTATCTTTGTCTGGTTTTGGTATCAGGGTGATGGTGGCCTCATAGAATGAGTTTGTGAGTGTTCCTTCCTCTGCAAATTTTTGAAAGAGTTTGAGAAGGATGGGTGTTAACTCTTCTCTAAATGTTTGATAGAATTCACCTATGAAGCCATCTGGTCCTGGACTTTTGTTTGTTGGACGATTTTTAATCACAGTTTCAATTTCATTACTTGTGATTATTCTGTTCATATTTTCTATTTCTTCCTGGTTCAGTCTTGGAAGCTTATACCTTTCTAAGAATTTGTCCATTTCTTCCAGGTTGTCCATTTTATTGTCATAGAGTTGCTTGTAGTAGTCTCTTAGGATGCTTTGTATTTCTGCGCTGTCTGTTGTAACTTCTCCTTCTTGAGGAAATGCCACACACATTTTCCACAGGGGCCTCACTATTCCACATTCCCTCCAGCAATGTACAAGAGTTCCAATTTCTTCACATCCTTACCAACACCTTGTGTTTTTAAATTTTAGCTGTCTTAGTGTGTGTGAAGTAATAGTTCACTATAGTTTTGAGTTGCATTTCCCTAATGACCAAAGATATTGTGCAAGTTTTCATGTGCTTATTGGCCATTTGTATATCTCTTTGGAGAAATATCTATTCAGATCTTTGGTAGATTTTTCCTTATTTTTTTTTCTAGTTTAGTTGTAGGAGTTATTTATATATTCTGAATACTATACCCTTATCAATATATGATATGGAAATATTTTTTCTATGGATTGTCTTTTCACTTTGTTGATAGTGTCCTTTATGCACAAAAGTTTCAAATTTTGAGGAAGTCCAATTTACCTATTTTTTCTTTGATTGCTTGTGCTTTTTTGGTGTCCTGGCTATTTTTGTACATTAATTTTTTCATATAAACTTTGGACCCAGATTATCTTGTTCTAAAACTTTTGTTGGCATTTGTCGAGGGATGGGTTGATTAATTTAGAGAGAGGGACTTTCCTGGTGGTCCAGTGGTTAAGAATCCACCTTCTGATTCTGGGGACATGAGTTCAATCCCTGGTCAGGAAATTAAGATACCGTGTGCCATGGGCAACTAAGCCCACACGCCGCAACTACTGAACCCATGTGCCACAACAAAAGTTCCCGCATGCTGCAACAAATATCACGCATGCCACAACTAAGACCTGACACAGGCAAATAAATAAATAAATAAAATAAAAATGTTTTAAAAATTTAGAGAGAATCGTGGTCTTCTTAAAAGGGAGATTTTTATCAAAGACCAGGGTACACCTTTCCATTTACCCAAGTCCTTTCTGTATTCTTCAGTAACACTTTAAGGTTTGTTTCACATAGATCTTACACTTTCTATCAAGTTTCTTTCTTGGTATTAATCTTTTTTTATTATTGTAAATTAGTCTAATGTTTAGATGCTGACAACAAGAGTGTTTGAAGTATTACGTGAGCTATAGTATTTTCTATGGTCCAAATTCAGGCCAAGTTCAGATCTGCAACCTCAGATCTACTCCAACACTTTGCTTTATAGGTAAGGACGCTGAGGTCTAGAGATGCTGAGTGACTTACTCAAGGCTGCACAGCAGGTAGGTAGCAGAGATGGCACTATGGCCCAAGTATTCTGTCTCTCCATTTCGCCTGACTCTGAATCCAGAGCTCTGTCATCTTACCAACCGCCATAAAATACATGAATCTAGGAAAGAGGCGAATGTTCTTACATGCACTGGGAACTTGTAGTTGCCTAGGGATTGACTTCACCAATCAAGATAGGAGTTAGACAAAAATTAGACAAAAATTAGGAAAAAAGGAAAATAAAACAACGGTTAAGTGAGAAAAAAAGCAAAAATTCAGACAGACACACACTCGCCTACATGTGTGCACATACACCCCCCCCCCCAAACCCTCAAACCTCCAGAGCTTCCTGCCTGTGAACCGAAAGGAGGAGTATGAGTTTCCTGGCCCTGCTGGCAGGTGCCTTCTCAAAGGCCCCATCGTCCTCCACTTCCTGAGGAGGCTGCAGCCAAAGAGACTGCTTTTCTCTTCTTCTTCCAGTCACGGCTGCCTCGGCCTCTGCCCCCAGGCACCATCCTGGGGAAGGACAAGATGAAGTGGATGGCGCTTGTTACGGTGGCCACCCTGCAGGCACACTTCCCAATTACAGGTAAGGCCGGATGTATCGTATGTATCGATGGCAAGGAACTTTTTGGAACCCTTTGTGCGTATGTGTCGGGGGTGGAGGGAGATAGCCGAGGGCTGGTGAGGCGCCAGTGTCTCCTTTAAATCCTGCCCTCCCCAAATCAATGAGCAGCTGAGAGGGGAGGGTCCGGCTTGATGCAGGCATCTGCCTCATTAAGGCCAAGCTGGGCATCAGCTCAGAGCCAGCTGCTCGAAAACACACCTGTGCAAAGTATGGATTTTTCCAGTGATAAAAAGAGAGAGAAAAGTCTGTGGTGGGGAAAGGATGAGGAGAAACTGAGGCAGGCCCCATGTGGACAAGAAGAGAGGGAGTATTTAACAGAAGCCGGGAGGGACCAGAAAATGTCAGCCAGGCCATGTTTCATGCTGAGCCACTTTTCTAGTCTTTATGTATTCTTTCACCCCCTTGCTGGCTCCGTCACTCAGCCCCTTTCCTTCTTCCTTCGCCAACAAAGAACATTGCATTTGTTGTTGGTTAGAGAGGGTCATGGCTGTGGCCCTGGCTGACCTGAAACACCTTGATGGGCCAGAGACTGACTGGGTTAATGAAGGAGGGAAGTGGCCTTCTTCAGGGTCTGTGTCTAGGCTTAGCTCTGACTTGGCCGCCTCTGTACCCTACAGCCAAGGGCTGCCTGATGACACACCCATCCAGGCTCAGTGACTAACCCACCGCCTCGTCTGAGGCCATAAAGCCAGAGATGCTGACAGAATGTAGGGGACAGATGAGAGGATGTGACTTGTTAAGTAGCCACCACGAGGAACAACCAACCAACAAGAGAACCTACTCCTCACTTCATTCCAGCCCTTAGAGTCCGGCTTTTCTAGAATCCTTTTACCCTTACCGTGTTTTCTAGCTCAGATAATAAGAAGTGGAAAGAAGACAAAATGGACTGCCTCTGGGCATTGGCGTCCTGGCATTTTTTACAAAATATGGGACAAGCTGTATTTGAATCTAAAGAAACCAGGAGAGTGGTCACAAACCAATGTCCTTCCTCCACTTGACAGCTCACCTCGGTGTGGGAGGGAGTTTGGCGACAAGGGTGGGAGGGCAGGAAAGGCCATTGGCACTTTTTTTTTTTTTTTTTCATTGGCACTTTTGTTCCTGCCAGGGAACGTGGCACAGCTGCCGCCTAGCACCTCGGGGGTTTCAAGGACTAAGAAATTGCGGGGTTTTCTGTAAGATCACAGCTCTCTTCTCAGAAAAGCCTTCTTGGGTATGAGTCACGCGGTGCCATAGGTAAGAACACCAGGGTGAGCCCAGAGCAGCCCATCCTCGTGTGCAGGACACAAGAGGACCCAAGACGTCAAAACGGCCTGTGAATTCAGTGACTTCAGAGGGAACCGCTGACAGCGGTAGATTCAGACCTTGGGCTTCAGGTTTGGGGCACGGCACTTGGTAGATAATTCTACCATGTGAAGTTTCCTCAGGGGTCTATTTGTGTTGGGTCTTGGGGCCAAGGCTGGGGCAATGGAATTAGAAGAGAAAATAAAAGCTGCTTGGGTGCTGGTGGCTGCCAGGAGTGGTAAACAAAACCCCACCCAGAAGACAAGATGGGGGCCATGCCCCATTTCCACAAGGTGTGTACAGAAAGAAAAGCCTTAGATTCATCTTTCAATGCCACTTGCTTTGCTGGTGTGGAGATTGAAATTTCAGCTATTTTTAGATAAGGTTCCTGGACAAAAGTTTTCCAAAGTGTCCTAGCCCTGTTGAGGGAAGGCTGGGGAGGTTTAGAGAGGCCTTTAACACTGAGGGCCACGAATGGCACCCGTGTTGGCTGAGAAGACACACTTTATGATTTCCTTTGGAAGAGAGGCTGCTGACTGATGGAATTCGAGTTGAGGTCTTCCCTCTTTTCTTGCTCAGTTAAGTTACTCATCCCCGAACCCTTTTAAAGCATCTTCTTTTTACTAAGACTTTTCCATTTGCATTTTCTTGCAAATGCCCAGATCATTAAGATCACGGCAAATAACGACCCAGTCCATCTACCTGAGGAGGTCTCCCTGGGTGAGTCTGCCAAGACGGTCAGCCGAGGCTGGAAGAGATTAAGATGGCGTGTCTAATGGCATGGGCAGACTTCTGCCTGCAGAGCCCTCGACTCCTCAGTGCCTCTAACTCCCTGCCTCACAGTGGTCAGTGTGACCTTGGTCCTTCCTTTGTAAGGAAATGCAGCTTTGACACAAAGTCTCAGGAAATGCGTGCTCTAGGTGTGGTGGGAAGAGTCAGGCCAGTCACATTGCTGCCAATTTCCCAGCTGTGCAACCTTAGGCAAGTTACTTAACCTCTCTGGGCCTCAGTTTTCTCACCTCTAAAGTAAGAATAACCTTCATTGCAGAGCTGTGAAAGTGAGAAGTAAATGTTATGTGCCTGATATGTACTAAACAGTCAATACATGAAAGTTGTATTAATTATTACATCCTGGCCTGTTTTCTTGTTCTCATTATCCAGGGACAGGAAATGGAAACCCATGTTTAGGATTCTTAATTTGCTCTTGATTGTGTTGTAAAGCAGCACTGGGCATTTCCTCCATCTGTTGAAATGCAGCTCATCCTTCTTTTGGTTTCTGAGCGAAGCTGTAACAGCTCAGGAACATAGCAGTGGTCCCTCCCAGCGGTGGGCCCAATTGTGAACAAGCATCAAAACTTTGCTGGGTCATAGGATGAGCATTACAGCTACCATTTCTATTTTTTTGAGACACTTATTCTGTAAGGGATATTCCCCCAGAGTGAAAACATGACTGACAATACATATAAGTAGTTAGGGGGAGCAAATTAGAGCACAGTCCCCCTGGTCATCACTGGCCAAGGTGGCCATCCAGAATTTGCAGCCAAATGGTTGGTGTGGTGGATGCACAGTGACCAGGGTATTTAAATGAACACTCCTCAAAACCAGACCTTTGCTTAAACTGCTTGAAGCTGGGCTTGAGGGAAGCTTTTGTGTGATGCCAGGAAAAGTTTTTCATCGATGGCGTTTTCACCAATGGTTTATTTTGACCTCTGGTCATCTGGCTCTGCTCATCCAGATGACCTACTTCATTTTCTACCTTGGTGGTTCTTAGATTTGCTGGCCTGTTTACACATTTGCTGTGGCAAAACATCCCCCAGAAACGGTGCTGGGCAACTCTTGTTTAAGTGAATGACCACTGCTGAATTTATTTTAAAATTCTTTTTATTTTTGCCTTTGTCTTTAAAAAATTAGATTTAATTTTTAACTGGATATACACTTTTACTTTGAAGAATCCCTGGGCACTGTATCTTGTTTTATTTTCAAGCATTCAGGCACCGTTAGGGAACTGTCTTGCTTTAGAGTTGTCCAAACACACACTCTGTAATCCTTTTTCTCCTGAGCCTTATTTACCTATGGGTCAGCTAACTGATTAAATAAATAGCAACGATAGTTCAAAATAAATTTCTTCTCTGCTTGGGCCAGGGCTAGTTCTTATTAACATTAAAGCGACGGTAGATTTAATCAATTTGAGCAAACATAAAGTCCATTTGGTTAAAAAATAATCAAACTAGTCATTTGATCTGTTAATTGAAACGAAACAGTCAGTTTAGTCACTGCACATACATAGCCATTCCTTCCAGTCTCAAACACAGTCTATGTTTTCTGAGGGAAAAGACGCTTCAGTCTTGCTCAGGGATGTGTCCTAGCACTTAGCATAGTGCCTGGAGCAGAGATCGCGCACAGTAAATATTTGTTGAGTGAACTGAAAGGTGGGTGAATGAAAGAAATCTAGACCTTTCCATGTGATTAAATTCACTTTAATGGTTTATGGAGGGGGGTTGTATATTGGAGTGGCATTATTTGGACCTTTCTTCTAGAGAACTTAGCATTAAACAAAGTACTTTAAAAAAACACAGAAAGTAAGCTGGTGGAGGGACAGGGCAGTTTGAGTAAACAGATGGATTCAAAATGATTTACAAGGACAGTTTCAGACAAAATCCTACCGTTGTTAAAATTTTCTGGTTGGACTGTATGAAATTTCCTATATTCATTTATTTGGGACCTACAAAAATGATAATTTCATATGATTCATCTAACACTATATCTTGAAAATTAGACAAAGAAAGATGCTCATTTTTCTGACGTGGCTTTAACACTAGGGAAAAGCAGAAAATAAAGAAGGCTACCACCGTTGGCGATTAACTAATGAATTAATAAACTAATGAAAGGCACCAAGGAGAAAAATAAGAGTTTGTGGATTATAGCATAAATCGCATTCAATTGCCCAACTGCTTCAAAATATAGAAAGAAAAAAAAGAAAAGCAGGATATCTAATCATTATAGTCCAAATTGGTCTAAGTTACTAAGTAAATATCCCAACTAGCTATCATTTTTTTTCTCTCTCTTAATTTGAGGTATTTTACCCAAAATATCATAAAATCAGAGGAAGTTATAAATTTAAAAAATATTCCATTCCAGTATTTTTATGTGTTTAAATATCTTTATATAGTTGTTATTACAAAAACAATTTCAAGTGCTTTTTTTCCTTAATATTTTATTCTGAACATCTTTTTTGATACTTAGCCTTCATGATTGTTTCTAATCGCTATGTAAATGTCCATAGTTTATGCATCGTATTTTCTTTACTATTTCATTATTGTTGGACATTTGGGCTGTCTCTAATTTTTGTTATTATAGCTAATGCTGCAAGAAAATCTTTACATCTGTAGCTTTTAAAATTTCTTTTGAATTACTTCCTTGGGCTAATTTCTCCAGGGCTGACAATTAAAGTAATAGGTTAAAGTAAAGGAACATTTCACAGGATACTTTAGACTTCTGTTGAAGTCTAAACAGTTTTTCTGTCAAGGAAAGAGAGTTTTTTCCCTAACTCTCTGACCATCTGCAAGTGTTTCTTGTCTTTTCTGGAGCAGGCAATAGGGTGGAGGGAGAGAGGAGACCGTGGAACCAGAAAGATCTGGATACAAGTCCTGATCTGTGGCCAGTTGCCTACCTTCGGAGCC